CAAGAGAAAAGGGAAGACATTAAATCACAACCACCATTAGAGTTTCTCCGTGAAAAGCAGAACATTTAGGATTGAGCAGTTTAAATAATGACAGCAGGTTCGTGGGGGCAGGTAGCCTTGTCAGCTACCTGAATGCAGGATGATTGGACAATGAGTATTCCATCTTGAAATGTCCAAGGGACAGAAAATGTGGCATAGAGCATGGGCTGTTGATTGATTCATGTGCATACAGATGCTGTAGTCCCAGCCTTTTGTTATCCATTATTAAGAACCTTGCTTACAGGAAGACTATACTCTCTCCCCAGCAGCAGCATTAAAGAAAATCCCAGTCACCAGTCCTGCCGTGTTGCCCAGGCTAAGCCTGAATGCCTGAGCTAAAACATTTCTGCCTTAATCTCCAAGATAGCTATGGTAACAAACACCTGGCATCATGCCTTGCGTTTAGCCAAGTTTTGGAAGATATCTAAAAAATCAAGCCATTGTTGTATTGCTCAGTGTGACCTAGGGCAGTGTTTCTCAACCTTCCTAATACGGTGACATTTTAATGCAGTTTCTCATATTGTGGTAACCTTCCCCTACCCCAACACACACACACCATAAAATTATTTCTTTGCTACTTTGAAAATGTAATTTTGCTGCTGTTATGAATTGAAACCGATACACAGGCTATCTGATATGCGGTCACCAAAGGGGTTGCAACCCATCTGTTGAGAACTGTTGCCCTGGGGTGATTCCTGGCACCATGAAAGCATAAAAATAATAAAAACCCAAACTCACATTACCTCGTGGGCTGTGGGTATAGATTGGTTTCAAAAGCTACATGCCTATCTTTACAAGTATTCATGCCTAACATGTATGAGACTGTGGGTTTGATCACCAGTACCACATACAAGAGCAAGGTGACTCATACATGTTGAGTCTGGAGGATCTGAAATTCAGAGTTATCCAGGACTTCATGAGGTGTTTGAGGTGAACTCGGGATACAGGAGAACTTAACAGAAAAGTTAAATAAAATATGTAACTAATTTTACAGAAAATTCTTTAAAGCGTGGGTAATACACCTTCACCATAATAAATATTTGTTTCAGAATCCTTTCTCTGTTTTCAGATTGCTGGCAAGGAATGGAGACTGGAAAGCTACCTTTTGATCAGGTTTCTGGAGAAGGACTGTCACTGGTCATGCCCCCAAAAGCAAGCCCAGCTAACCAGGAGTCTCACCCAAGTGACATATATTTGCCCGTCTTGAAAGGCATTTTGCACCTGCTCCATCAACTTAGGCAGAAATCACATTTGATCGGTCCGTGTTCGA